CGAAGTGGAAAGTTTCCACCTCTTCGTCCAAGCGCCGGAGTACCTTTCGCAAAGATCGGACGAGTGACCTGTAGGCACCCACCACTGTATACGTAAACAACCGAAATGCGGTGAGGAACGGTCGTCCACAACCTCAGACTGTGCTCTGCCAACCCAGAACGGGACACCTTGAGACAGTTCCTCATCAGGCGGCCTAACAATCAGAAAATCACCTTGGTTTATATGGCGCCGAGGGTCGAAGTCCACTTTTGGACGGCCTGCCCTCGGTCCTACATATATAAGCGAAGCATCTGGCGAAGGAGGGTCGACTTCTTGAACTTCCTCCACAGTTTCGACTGATTGTGGCCAGAAGGTAGGAGGGTAGATCTCCGGCTCGTCCGCCCCGAGGACATCCTCTTCCTCACCCTCTTCCGTCTCCTTCTTCTTTTGCTTTTGGATAATGTCGTCCGCCTCGACGAAGATGGCTTTCCAGTAAGACAAAGCATCCTCCCGCTTGTCGACCTCCTCCTTCCTATATGTCTGCCACATGTGTCTATACTGTTCAAGGACGTCCACAAATTTTTGGACACTGTCACGAGCCATCCGAAAATCGTCTTTAACGACACGGGGAATAACACATGGCTGTGGAGGGGAGGTAGGACCTGCATACTGGCCATCGACAACCAGGAACCAGTGAACTGGTCTGCCTTCCGGCATCCATTCCGCATCGGTACAGTACTTCTTGTACAACATGACGGGACTGCCGTCACACATGAAGAATTTGAAGAGGTGCGGTTTCGATACGCTGATAATGGTTCTATCGACGTATCGATCCACTACCCGACGCCAATCGGCAATGTGACCGAGCTCAATGCACTTCGGCGGTATCTTGTGCGACGACTCGATAAGCTAGAACAACTGCTTCATGGTGTAAGCATCGTTGTCCTTCAGTTTTTTCGAGAAAACACTAAAAGTCGCGTCTATGTCGGTATGCGTGTGGCCAATGAGCATGAACCCCACTTCGACATCTTCGAAAATCCCGAATTTCACCAGAAGAGCGGCCAAACACATAAGGTATTGGTTTCTGTTTTCCCCGCAGCAATTGTCCGCCTGGATGCGGCGTGGCCATTTCTGTCCCGACGCCTGCAACTCACATAGAGTCCGCATAACGCACGTCATGGTGTCATCGGAACCGTGCGCATAGAAAGGCAAATACGTGTACACATAAATGGACGGTTTCCTGCCGTGAGCTACGACCGTGGTCAGGTTCGTTTTCATCATCATGTCGTGTCGATGATCCTTGGAGTAATTATACATGCCGATGTGAGGAATGGTTGTCTTTTTCTGATCCATTCCATCCACTATAAGGCAGAGGTATTCCGCAGGGTTCAAAATGGAACGAAGTTTTCAGTCAGCGTAATCCGCACGGTGAGCGACCTGATCTAGTTGGTGTTTGTGGTGCTTTTCATCGAAATCCCTACGGTCACGAAGGAGGAAGGCGTTGTCTCTGGCCTGTCTAAGGCGGACGCACTTGCCACACTTTGTGAACGAGTTGGACTTGGCAAGGTCGGCATGCCACAAGTACTTCCTCCATATGGAGTAGAAGACTTGCTCCGAAATGACGGTCTGACCCGCCGCTTCCAAGTCCGCCTTGATAGACTCGTATACAAGGAGCTTCGTGAAATAAGCAGGGAGCCTAACTTTGGGGCGTTGTGAGGTCCCCCTCACAACCATTTCATTAGGCATAGCATCTCCATGTTCTTCCACGAACCTTGTCTCACGAGCCAGCAGCATGCTCACATATTCCGGTCTCGGGTTCAACAATCCCCATCGACCATGACGGCCACGGACAACCCCGTCCGGCTTGCACTTGCTATAACGACGAAATGTGTTTCGACATATCCCTATTATTTTGCACCAACCGGCGATGCACACACGGCATTTGCACTGCACTGATTGGACTCTTTCCAGACCGCCGTCAAGGATAGTGAAATTGTCGAGGGTTTGCATCCACCACACGATCCTCCTTTCGAGGGACATTTCGTAATAGACTTCGCGCACCGGTTTGATATCGTCAATGGTCAAGACCCGAAGACACTTGTTCTTACAACATTTGTACGTCGGGATGAGCGCAATGTTAGTTTCATTCAATCGACTTTTGGCCCTCTTCGAATGCTCTGACTTTTTAACCAACCTATTTTTTCGATTATATCTTCTACTTTCTCCAGGTAGGGGATGGGACAAAACTTGAAGGACTGCTTCGGGAGTTCCAGGTTGGCTTTTGGTCGGGGACCCATGCGCTGCACCTAGGAATTTCGATCTGTCCGTGGGAGCGGTTCTCGGCAAATCRGATTGGGAGGATTCCGATGAACTGTAGAAATCTGTGTCTACAAAACCAGTCTGCCAATTWTCCATTGCACCYGTCGCTGTCATCGACGGAGAGCCAACTATTYCRGCTTCACATGCAATTCTCTTACCTATCTTCGCACTTCCACACGCACGTACCGTTGCCTGGTCCCTATCATACCCATTTCTACCAAATGCACCGCACTGTTCCCGATCAGATCCGTTTCTATCGGGCGTACCGCAGAAGTCTGTGTCCACCAACGACCGACTGTAGTCAAATGCTAGGGGTTGGGTAACTTCAATGTTTTCTGACGGTCTACCCGCTGTCCGAACGAGATCTGATCCAGTCGTTTCGAACACACCACAGAAATCTGTGTCCACGAACATCCACCCACCGGGAAACGTCTCGACATCCCGAACATCTCACTACCGGGGATTAGCGTTGTAGATACGCGCTGACCGTCGGGAACGTCGGTAAACCGAAAACGACGCCGGGCGGACGTCGTAGACGAGGCTGAATGATTCATCGGGGTCAACATCGAGAACTCCCTTTTCAAACCGCAATGCCGATCAGAGGGAGCTTCCGGGCTGCTGTCACAAGAACTACGTTCTCGAACATCGTCTTCTCCGTGTTGTCGTGATGGTGGCGGTGGCGTGACACAGTGGACGGATTGGAAAGCCATTTGAAGAGACGATTCACACGGAAAATGTACAACATGAAAATCACGTCAACGTATGACGAGGTCAGGGAAATAAACAAGAGGGAGCAAACTCACATTTTCAATATTTATCACAAAAGAGTGGAACAACAACATTTGAATCCATATCGTTTTGTCGGACCCTGATGTGAGGCTCAAGTGCTATCTCAAGTCCGACTCCTCACCCACTCGTTCAGTGCGCAAGTGGTTTGGATATGTCCGAGTAAACTCGCACTTTTTCAGGCGAGAGTACAAATGCGAGCTGATTCGGACTTATTCAACGTACAGTAAGAAATTAAGTTCAGGGTCGGAACAAGACCAAACACAAGTGCGAGTCGATTCGGTAGTATCCACTAAACAACAAGAAATTTCAAGTGCCAAAAAATTCACACTTCAGAGGAACATTTCGATTACGCCGTGCAATAAGAAATTGGCTTCGTGGTTGGTTCAGTGCCGAGTTAACTCGCAAATACAAAACGACTTCATTCTTTTGGGCCGAGAAGAGACGCGAATTATCGACTAAAGAGGAACAAATTTAGGGGGATGGATGGTTGAACAGCGAATAAATTCGCACTTGCAAACGAGCATTTCCATTATGAAACTGGGGCTTGTGGACTAAAGAGTCAAAAATTTGGGGGGAAGGTTGGTTGAAGAGCGAATAAATTCGCACTTGCAGACGAACATTTCCACTATGAAACAGGGACTTTTGGACTGTAGAGTAAGAAATTTAGGGGGATGGTTGATTGAAGAGCGAATAAATTCGCACTTGCAAACGGGCATTTTCATCACGAAACTGGGGGTACACGTGCGAGTTAATTCTGACCTATGGACTAAACAGTGACAAATTAAGGGGTTGGTTGGTTCAAGAGCGAATGAATTCGCACTTGTAAACGAGCATTTCCATTACGAAACTGTGGGTACAAGTGCAAGTTGTTTCCGACTTGTTCTGCGTGTAGTACGAGCCACAGATCGTCACAAGAGAGAAATAGGGAAAGATGGCGTGCTATTTTTTAAGATGGAAAAAGGTTGCGAAGAGATGGGCAGACGGCGCATCGATGAAAATACATGGAGAGAGATGGCGCACCAAATGAGAGAGATGACGCACCAAGAGAGATGGATGGAGTCACAGTCTTCCCCCGAATACAACGTCCAGTCATTACAGCTGAATTCGGGTCATCTTTTAGTCTAAAGACAACTGTAATGAAATTGCGTTGGATATTTCGGGGAAGAAGGTGGATGGCGCAGGAAGGGAAAGAGATCGCGAACTGATTGGGAGGTGTGCCGCAGCGAGAGAGAGAGACTGCGCACCGATGGAGAAACATGGCGCATCAATAGAGATAGCAGGCGCATCGATGGTTAGCGATAGCACAGCAATGGAGAAAGATGGCGCACCGAAGCAGATAGATGACGATGGAGATAGATTGGGAAAGATAGCGCAGCGATGGAGATAGATGACGAAGGAGATAGATTAGGAAAGACAACACACCGAAGGAGATGGATGACGAAGGAGATAGATTAGGAAAGATACCGCAGCGATGGGGATAGATGGCGAAAGGTAAGTAGAGATCGCGCATCGGTGGAGAGAGATGGAGAGAGGACGCGCAACAATGGTTAGCGATGCCACAGCGATGGAGAGAGAAGACACAACGATGACCAAGATTTGTTATTGCACAACATCAGTTCCATCGAGTTAAGCCTTCGTTAAGCATACCTGTCACTTGTTTCCTGCGTTTCCACAGTGATGGGCGGCTGCACCGACGACGACCTGAAACAACAATACAATGGCGATGGCGGGATTGCGCACGAGTAATAAAGAGCCTCTGGGGCAAGGATAGAGGTTGCCCGGTTGTCGAGAGAGATCTTGCAGTGATGGAGTGAGATGGAGAGTGATCACTCAACGATGGAGGGAGATCGTGCGGCGATGGAGAGAGAAATCGCGCAGCGCTGCGGTGGGATAACACTGGCCTGGGCTTCGATAGCGATGGCCAGTGCTGCGGTGGAGAGCGATGGTGCACCGGTGGAGAGCGATGGCGCGGCGATGGAACGCGTTACAATGCAGCGATAGCGATAGCGATGGCAGCGATGGAACAACGATAGCGATTGCGCAGCGATGGCGCACCRGTGGAGAGCGATGGCGCAGCGGTGGAGAGCGATGGCGCAGCGATGGAACAGCAATAGCGATGGCGCAGCGATGGAACAGCGATAGCGAAGGCAGCGATAGCGATTGCAGCGATAGCGATGGCGCATCGATTGAGAGATGGCGCAACGATGTAACCAACGTTGCGATGGCAACTATGGTACCAGCGTTGCGATGGCGCAGCGATGGCCAACGCTGCGATGAGAGCGATGGCGATTGTCAGCGCTGCGATGGTTAGGCGAGCGCGACGGCTGCGATGGGGGATATAGCTTTGCATCGCGATGGCGATGAGCTAAGCGCATCGATGGCAACGGTGCATGGCGAGCTTTGGCGATGGCGATGAGCTAAGCGCATCGATAATGATGGTGCATGGCTAAGCGCATCGATATCGAACGCCGTTGACATTTGCAAAATGTCCGAATGACAGCGACACCGAAACTTATAGATTTCCGTTGTTTTTTACCTCGGCGCACAACGAATCACCGCGCCTCGGCGGAAAATAAACCGTCGCCTGGCCTCGACGCGCAACGAACCGCCTCGGCGCACAATGAATTGCTGCACCTTATAGATTCTTGCGCTTGACCTCGTGCGTCGGATCATGTCGATCGACGGTCTCGATTACAACTGCGAAAATGACATTGCCTGCCCCTTGTTTTTAGGAACTGTCACATCATTGCACGCCGGAGTAGACGGAGATTATGGGGCCACTGACATAACAGTGGCTCCGTTCATCTGCGCGGTTGAAAATTGTTGATCGACGGCTGACAATTTCCGGTACCCCTTACCGTTTATAGGCCCTGGCGTTTTATGGGCCCAGGGGTGCGATACGGGAATCGATTTGGCCCCACCTTGATGGCGTTTTATGGGCCCAGGGGTGCGATATGCGAATCGATTCGGCCCCACCTTGATCCCGACGCGAGGCCTGCTGCAACAAAGTATAAAAGGCGTTGCAACCCTCGAGTTATCCCTTTTGTTGGCGCTCCACAGATCAAGTCGCGCTGTCGCTTCCGCGCGCGTTCTGATATTTGGTCTTCAACCCCCCCCACCTTCCGCCATAGCCCGCTCACTCTTCGCTCTTCGCTCCGTCCGCAGTTGCCACATTGTGTTCGGTTCGCTCTTCGCTCCTTGGTCTTCGCTCTTCCTAGCTCGATATCCCTCCACCATAGCTGGTTCGGTGGTTGGTTGCTCGCTCAACGCTCAACGCACGACGAAGGTAAAATGAACGTCCGACGTCCGAACACATTCCAAGAAGCCCTGTCTGTACCTGCAGGATATAACGCCGCAGCCGCGTTCTGTTGAACCCCGAATCAATTCCCGATTTTGTTGTTTCGCCAGTGGACGTGCTCTAATCTCTTTTCTCCACCCTCCACCTCCGTAGCCGATCCGCGTTTCGCAGCTCGATTACCTTTCGCCATAGCCACGATAATGTTCGTGTAAAGCGTCTCGATCCCCTTCGCAAGTTGCAGTCGTCGCTGCGCATGGCGAACCCCGAATCAATACCTAGTTGCTACACTGAACACCGAATCAATTCCCGATTTTCGCTCACCTGTCCCTTGTGAGGTCGCCGACCTGATATATATATATATATATAGATACATATGCATAGAGAGATATATTGCGAGTCAGTTCGCAGTTTGCGATGTACAGTGTTCGAGGAGTGACAACTGCGAGGTTATTCGCAGTTTTTCCAAGGTTAGACATATATTTCATTAAAGGCAGTTCTTTATTTCCACAAATGCGAGTTAGTTCGCACTTTTTGAGCAACACTGCTGGGGAGTTGACAACCCAACCCGTGCGGCTTTCAGGTCTTCAGTTCCACAATTCCCAGTTAGCTCGTACTTTCCCCTAGTGTTGCGCATTGCCATTATTTTCGTGTCTACAGAACTGCGAGTTAGTTCGCACTTGTCGAAACCCTTCGCAATTGTCGATAAACCAGGACTTCAGTTCCACAATTCGGAGTCAGTTTGTACTTTCCCGTTGTACTTCGGGTTGCAATTGTCGTCCTGTCAGCAGAACTGCGAGTTAGTTCTCACTTGTCGATTCGCACTTGTCGATAAACCACATCTTACTCGTTTCGTGCGTCTTTCAGGTCTTCAGTTCCACAATTCCGAGTTAGTTCGCACTGTCCCCTAGTGCAACGGGTTGCCATTGTTGTCTTGTCTACAAAACTGCGAGTTAGTTCGCACTTGTCGATAAACCACATCTTACTCGTTTCGAGGGCATCTAGTTGGATCGCAATCTTTCCGAACAATTATCGTCTTCCCTCCGAAGTTCTGTCTTTCCTATCCTTCACCCGATTGCTGTGACTTCGTGTCCATTTCGAACACCCATCTCTTACGTCCTTTTCGTCCTCTATTTCGTTAAGTCCGAGTTAGTTCGCACTTCGCTTCTGTAGTGCTCTGGGGTTGGGCGTATTAGTCATCTGAGTTGGTCTGAGGTTGGGCGTGCTAGTCAACGAGTGGGAATACAATGGCGTCCGCAAAGAACACATCCACAAGCGCTGGACCATCTGCCCCCGGGGAGGGACGACCTGTACAGCAATCTACTCCTCAGTATATGCACGCAAAGGGAGCACGATGGTTTTTGGACTTCGTTGTTCAGGGGGACCTTTTTGGGCCAGCTGTTTTCATGCGACCCACTTGCGTTACAGATGCTGGGGGAGCGGTCAACGTTGTTCCTCTCGGTACCGTGGTCTCGTGCACGAAGACTCCTGAAGGTTTGCTCAAGCTGCACACTAACGGCATGTACGACAAGTGCAGACTGCCTATCAGAGGTGTTAAAGGTGTGGTGGTAACCATCAAGAGTTTCGCGGGGTACGACTCGAACATGCCGTTGTGCTCTCACTTCAAAGGCCTTTACGATGGCGGCAACAAGCGTCTTCCATCGCCAGAGCAATATCTCGATCTCGCGCTGATGGTGCCGAGAGAAAGTCCAATTCTTCCGCCAGAGCATGTTTTCTGGCTTCTGCCACCCCGTGAGGGGTCGTCCGGCTTGGCTCAAGAAACTCCAGGTACGACAGTGGGGCGTCGGAGTCCGATTCAAGACGCTGGGGGTCGGGTCAAGGGACGCAGCGTTCACACGCAGGCCGGTCCGGATGCTCCTAGGAACACGTCGGACTTGCATTCTCTGGGTACAGGGAGTCAACGGGTCGGTACTCCAAAAATTATCAACGTCCGCTGCGGCGCCAACACGTATTCGCTTCGAGATGAGACGAGAAGAGATTCAAGCAGATCGGGGCTAGATGTTGGAGGGAACTAGGCTGAAGGGATGGGCGCTGTCCGCGAAAGCTCTGGCGGGGAGCAGACTCCTTCGGAGAAGAAGAGCGAGCGACAGAGGATGGTGCGAGAGGAGGTGGTGGAAGGAACCCTCCGCATGAAGAGGATGAGAGGAAAATCGGAGGTGGTGATGGGAGGGGATGGAGGTGGCGACGGAGAACGTGCCTCGGAAAGAGGCCGACGAAGGAAGAGGGTGGGACGGCAAGTAAGAAAGCGAGGAGGCTCGACGGTTTGACCATCCACGAAGGACAAGCCGCGGGTGGAGGAGATTCGGCTGATCCAGGCGCTGCGGCCGCGAGAGAACCTTCGGGGAAATCGAAACAGAAAGTGGCAGCTGAAGAAGGCGATGGCGAGAAGAAAACTCGAAGGCGGAAGACTGCTGAGGCGATGAGCGGTGGCGAAGGGCCTGTCGGTAAGGAGTACGACGAAGCGGCAGCGTTCTGGCTCGAATACGAGCGGAACGATGTCGGTGAAATCGTGGAGAAGGAGCTCCCCGTCCAACTGCTCATCGACCCCAGGAAGGTCTGCGAGATCCCGGCTTGGGAAAGATATTACAACCACCGCAGTCTAAGTCGCGAAACTGTGGACGATATCAAGGGTACGATGCTGAGTCAATTCCGCGAGAAAAAGGGGAAGATCTGGACGAAAAACCCTCTGGTTTTGGCACCCATCTACAAGCCGGTGACGCGTAGGCCAGAGAAAGATGACAGGATTCACAAAGATGTCTTCAAGCCAGAGGACAAGGACAAGTACTACTATTACCCTGTTAACGAACAACACACCGTGGCTGCTGTAAAGGAGTTGGAGGGTGAGCCAATATTCAATTTGTGGAAGATGCACTCGTGGCCGGCGAGAGTAGTGTGGTTCTCCGACCGAGATTTCGCGGGGTATAGGCAGGTCAGTCTCAACGAGAACACGAGACACAAGATGTCTAAGCAACGATCACAGAAGGCCGCGTTCTTGGACATGTAGGAGGCATGGGAGAATGAAGGAAAGCCGGTGGCCATTCAAAGGAACTCTTCCGGCAAGGAGGCCGAAAAACAAAAGTTCTTCGATTTCCAAAAGCTGATTTTGGGAAAGAGTCCGAACGGAGCTCACTGGACGTTGGCACAAAAAGATTCGTCGCTCGCCGACAAGGAGTATGTCGCTGCAATTAGCAATGCATTGAGGCAGTGGATGCCGCTCGTGACGGTCGGTGACGACGTTTTCCGCAAAGTCATGGAATTCTACGCGAAATGGGCGGAGGGGAAGTTGCTGGGCGGCGACGGCAAGACGCCATTGTCGAGGCTGGGCAAATACATGCCAGACAAATCTCCGGGTCTGCAAGAAATTCCGGAAATGGGCTCGAAAGGGGCGGCTGGTGAAACGAAGATGGGGTGGCTGGTCCGGGTCCCGCCGCCTCCGACCAAAAAGAAAACGCAAGCGGACGACAAGTTTTTCGTGTTCGTGAAGGAGCCAGACATGTTGTGTTGGCAGTGTCTCGCCGACATAACCGATGCCGAGAAACTGTCAATCCTTGATGACATTCTCGCGCTAAGGGGAGTGTTCGTGCAATCCGCGGGCGGCCATTTGAAGCGTCAGCACAAACCAGGAATTAAAGACATGGTCGCGACGAGGAAAGTGGACCGTGTGATGCTCCGTACGTTCCACTACATTTTTTTCCTTGAAACGGAGGAGGACGAACGTGTTTGGCGCCACGGGAGCCCTTTTTTTGGGACCGAGGGGAAGCTTTTGGAGGAGTACGGGCCGCAGGGCCTCACGAAACAGGTGTGGGTCGAAATGCGAAAGCATTTCCAGGGTGCGGTGGAGTACGTGAACACTTGCAAACGTACTCGTCCTCACGAGAAGGAGTTCCTCGACAACGCGAAGAAATTGTACGATGATGACAGGTTCCCTAAATCTTTCGAAAAGTCTGTCCGTTCCATCTTGCGACGAACGGAAGAAGAAGTTCGAGACACGATCAGGGTCAGCGGGGATGTGAGACACATCAAATGGCCCGACCTCAACCGGGTGACCAGCCTTATTCCTTTCGCTTTCCCGCCTTCCCAAGCTCACAGTCATGTCACTGCGATCCGTGAGGTTGTGCGACATTACGTGTGCAACCTGTACGTCCTCGATTTGTGTGATCCCACACTCCTGACAGACTGGCGAGAAGACGATTTCGGCAAATTGTAAGGCCTTCTACAAACACTTTCGCCAACGCACTGGGCACTTGTGATTTTTTTCCTCATTGGGAGCTCAGTTTCTTGAAAGGCATGGCCAGGCTTAGCGTCCATCACGTCAAGAYAGGGAAGTGGGTACGTAATGCACAAAAGCAGGCCACTGTCCGGGAAGGCAATATGCTGGTTGAGGAGTGTGACCGCCTGTACGTGATTTTTAATGGCGAGAAGCTGAAAGACAACACATTCGCAGTCTACCCGGCCAGTAGCCCGACAAAGGCTTCCCGTGCTCATGGTCCAAGTCCGGCCAAACACACGGTGGCGGGTCGCTCGAAAGCTGTCTGTTCGTCGGACCCATCAGGACAGGTTGTGGCGTGTTTCGACGTGGCGGAAGAGGAAAGGTGCTCTCGTAGCATGTGGGAGGACGGCGGCGTGACAAGTTCTCAAGGACCTGCTTATGGGGAGATGGAGCGGAACCCGTCCCATCTACTTGGTCTACTTGAAAACTTTTGCAAAGCTGGTCAAACTGTTTTTTTCTTTGGGAAGGCGCATGCGTCTGTCGTGTCGGAACTCCTGCGCACCGGTCGGAACGTCGTCGCGTTGGAGAAGGGGGCGAAGATGATCGATCACCTTCACGAGTTCGTGAAGGCACTCGTTGCAGACACTCGCAATGCTTGCGGGTTTGTCCAGACCACCGGCGAACGAAACTGGGATCCCAAACGTGACATGTATTGGAAATTGTCGGGGAACAAAAGGACGGACGTTTGGGACTTCCTTTTCGGACCCGGACCGCCTAGTCTGACCGACCTGGAATACAGTCGACGGAGAAACCTGGTGTTTGCTGTGCTCAATGGGTACCACGGTGCACCCAGGGAGTCTGTCTCACACTTCCTGAGAAGACTGGAGCATGTTTACTTCACGCTGGCTGAACCGCTCACTCTCGAAAACTACAAGTCACAGTTTGACGAGGAGGACCCTTTCGACGCTGACGACATGGAGGAGCTGAGCGACTCCGAAACCTTCGATTTTGAGTCCATGCCACTTCCTCGGGTGGTTGGATAGGTTGGTGATGAAGAGGAAGGTGGCCCTCAGAGATATAGCACGTCCCCTGCCGGTTTGAAGCGTGTGTTTCGGGGCGAACCAGTCGACGACCAATCGTCTGATGACGGGGAGGAAGAGAGAGACTATGATCACGAACCTTGTGACAGGCTCCCTGTGGAGCATGACACCTGGCAGAATGACAGACTCTACTTCTGCGGCAAGCATCACCGGTTCACGTTGGAGGATATCTGGGGACACAACGTTGTCTGGCACCCGAGGATATTCCAACCTGCTGTGAGGAATGGAATATGGGTCATGGCAATAAAGGAGGCCGATGGCAAGTGGAGTAGACTGAAGAAACTGGGAGCGGGTGCATTTAAGAGAAAGGCAAGAACTGCTCTGGTGGAGCATTTGAGTCTCATGAACCCTGAGAGGAACGATCAGGACGTCGATGCGTATGCAGAACAAAAGCTACATGAGTTGTACGCCAACAACATGTTGGAGTTTCGAGCGCCTTTCTACGCACTCGAAACGGCACCGTCTCGTGGCATTGACTGGCGCATGTCGCAACCTCCGCCGGCTGGTCAGCATCCGGGAGGGGGTGGTGGAAGAGACGAAGGAGACGGCGGAGGTGGCGGAGGAGATGGCTCACAGTTTGCCGGAAAGGGGACGGGCGAGACATCGTCGGTTGAGAAGGCGTCCGACAGAAAGGGGTCGGGCCGAAAGGGGTCGGGCGGGAAGGGATCGGGCGCGAAGGGGTTGGGCGGAAAGCGTAGAACGTCCGGGAGTCCCCAGTATATGGAAACTGACCCCCACTGTGTAGGGAGTCGAGATTCCGACATGCGAGACGAGGCCACCCTGACGTCTGATCAAGTGCGAGTAGATTCGCACTTGTCTGCGAGGAGTTTGTTTCCCGTTGCCCAGGAGAGTCCATCCCGCCGTGCGCAGCAGAGGTCTCCTGTGCTCAACACCTTGCTCCTGAAAGAGGGCGCGTCTTCGTTTTGCCTGGAGGGCGGGATGCCTGCATTGCAAAGGAGCGAAGGTGCGACTTCCGGTTCCCTCGGCTAGGGCGACCGCCACAAACTCCGAATACATTCGGATTTGCTGCCGTCGCCCTACGCCATAAGTGTTCCTCACGCAACAGTTCCGAGGGGCCAAAAAAATGTGACGTCCTGGCCCCGCATCTTCAGTTGGACACAGGGTTACCCTGCTCGCCTCCTTTCTCATGTGTTGAGACTCGAGACTGGCGGTCTCGCGACGTGCTGGAGGGGCCCGCTCCAGGAGTGTTGGAGACCGATGGTAGCGAGAACGAACGTCACACTCCTGGGGAAGACGAGCGCTCTCCGGGAACGCGTGCTGTACATCGAGAAGAGGAGACTCAACGCTGGCAGTCTCGCAAAGTGTTGGAGACCGGGGGTAGCAAGTGTGAACGTCATGCTTCAGAGGGTGCGTCTGTGAACACTGACAGCGAGAGTGCAGGAGCTCCGGGGGAAACGCATGCTGTACAGCGGGGAAAGGAGACTCGACACGGGCCGGCTCGTGAAGACATGAAGTGGCTTCATGCACGAGCGCTGGTGATCGGGACGTCCGAAGAGGTTCTGCACAGTCGCTCGGCTGTGGCCACGATGCGAGAGGGTGTCGTTAAGGGAGGTCAGTGGACGTCCGTGCAAGCTCCCGTTCTTGGCGACGATGAAGACGAAGAAGACCCGCGGTGGAAGCTCGGGTTCATGGCGATGAGAAAGGCGGAGAACCCGAAGTGGAACGCGGTGAGGTGACTGTCGACATCCGGACGGATCCACAACGGAAAGATGGTGATTCTTCGCCCACCCGTTGCGGTGAAGAACAGGGTGGTCGAGCGTCTGTCCTGAGCACCGCTCGGGGAATGGTGCTTCATGAAGCCATACAGTTGGGTGACGACTCGGCAGCCACCGAGCTGGTTAGCGACTCAGGCGTGGCCGAGATGCAGAACGTCGAATCCTCCGTGGAAGGCGGTGAGGTGGCCGTCAGCATCAAGATGGATCCAGAGCGGAAAGATCATGATTCTCCGTCCACCCGTTGCGATGCCGAACAGGGTGATCGAGCATCTGTCCTCAGCACCGGTCGGGAAATGGTGCTTCATGAAACCATCGAATTGCCAAGCGACTCAGCTGCCACCGAGCTGGTTAGCGACACAGCCGTGGCCAAATGCAGAACCTCGAATCGTCCGTGGACGTTGCCGCAGTGGTGCGACAAGAGGGCGAGTTCCCTCAAAGGGCTCCTGAGCACGGTAAGCTTTGTGAATAGGACCACTCGCATATCTGTCAATAGCCAGCTCTGTGTTTGTCCAAATTGATGTCATGGGCTAATGTACCTATTACCACTGGTTTAAAAAAAACTTGTGGGCTATGGGTTGTTTTCTATGTTCTACAGGTGTGAGGTTGTTAATGTCCCTGCCCATGAAGCCTTTAAAAGCCGTGAGCGAGAAACGTCTTTCAAGGAGGTCATTGGCCGCTTTACCAAAGAAGTCATCAAGTGTAGGGTTGTTTAAAAGGGTCCAGATGCCTCGCCTTTCCCAGAGAGCTGTCAGGGTTCTGAAGGCTTGTGGAATAGATAAGGAGGAAGGTCTGCGGAAACATTTGGTTGCGTCTATTGAGAGCGTTACTGCTTTGTCTGATGGGTCTGATGACGATGGCGAACGGGGTGTCTTGAAAGACCCGTGTCCTAAGTACATCGAGAAGGACACATTCAACAGTCGGGGATACAACTTTTCTGGGACAATGGCAGACAGTTCTTAGCCATTCCGCCCCGGGGTTTGTGCTCACTCCTCACACTTGTTCGTGGGTGTTTGTGCAGCCGGGGCTACATCATGTTTTCGTGTTCCCTTGCCTACTGAGGAGCTTAGTGCTACGGACTTCAGAATATTGCAGGACGTCTGCGGAGATTTCAGCAACGGCCACGAGGTGGTTTGCTCGGTTCGCAGAGGTCCCAGTTCGATTCCGTTGACCAGAAAAAGTCTTCAAACTCTTCTCCAAGGGGGATGGCTTTCCGATGAGGTGGTGGAGTCGTACTTCGCCTTGCTTGCCAACGCAGCGTTCCCTGGGAGTCCCTCTCTTTACATTTTCAGTCCTTTTTTTTATACCAAGCTCATAGGTGGCGGCTATCGACATGAAAGGGTTGCGAAATTGACAAAAGATGTGGATATTTTCTCGTACGGCATGGTGTTGATTTCTGTTCATAAACATCGAGTGCATTAGACCCTATTATGTGTCCGAGAACAAGGGCTGGAGTACTACGACTCCCTCCTGCAAGACGATGGCGGTTTTTCTTCCGATGTGCTTGCGAACTTCACGCAATACCTCCGTGCCGAAGCGGTTTGTCGATATGGTGAACAAGCCAAACTGGATCTCCCGGCGCCCAAGGTGGTTGCTCATGGTGTCCCTCAACAGTCGGACGGGTCGAGCTCCGGTGTTCTTATGCTCGCCTTCGCTTCATTTCTTGCACGCGGCTGTCCGCCACCATTTCCCATAGCCCAAAGCGACATTCCAAACATCCGGCTGAGGATTGCGGTGGACATACTCCAAAGCGCTGAATGATACCACTGTTGTAAAAATACACGTAGTTTTTTTTTCGAAATGCCATAAGCAGAAGTGCAAATCTATTTTCACTTGATCTAGCAGTCAGCCGGTTGGAGCTGTGCTGTTGATTTCATGAGGTGTCGGATTGCAGTGGACGTTTTGGTCAAGTACAGGCTTAGGTGTCGATGTGAATATCCCAGCCTCGTGCTGTATCAATTTTTTAAGGGTTCTTCATTTCGTGGAACCTGTCATCTTTACTCGTAGGACTTTCGGCAGCGTCGTGGTTCCTTTGTTTGTTTTCGGGTTGTTCTCATTGCTTGCCGCGCAACATCAGCTAGAGGGTAGCAGCGGACGCTTACGTGAAGTAGAAGCTTAGATGCCGATGTAAATATCCCAGCCACGTGGTGCAGTTCCTTTTAAGTAGACGCTTACATATCGGATGTGAATATCCCAACTTTGTGCTCCTTTTGTTTATTTTCGGGTTGTTCTCCTTATGTCCTGTGCTCCTCTTTTACTCATGTGAAAGATATCAACGATTTATTCTTGGTCGCCGAATTGTTTCGTGCTTATCGCTTTCGTTCGCGAGACTTTGTGGTGTGAAAGCCCCTCTCCCCCGCCCCACCCCGACCACCCAACTTTCATATGTTTTGGCTCGTCCTTGTTCTGCTTGTGCCGCCCCGTTTTACGGTTCACCCCCTCTGCTTGTCTCGATTGAATGTTGTTTGTTGGTTCCTTATGACAGTTGCAAACTTGTTCTCCATTCGGAAACCAATTGTCGCCAGAATGTATGTGTGCTTGAAGTTGTTTTACGGATTCAGCGGTGCACTGAGTGATCACCAATTTTGTTATCCCCTGAATACATCTCGTGCTCTCCACGGAATGCTGGCTGTTGTTTCCGTATGAGAAATGCGAACATATTCGCACTTCGGATGCCGTACATTTGTGATTGAACTGTTGGTTCCATGTGAGAAATGATAAAATATTCGCACTTTGGCTCCATGTACTTTGTGATATTTGGAAAGCATCCGTGCACTTTGCAATGTGGGATTGTATGATATTTCGCGTTCAATGACTTTTTTAAACGTCTCTGTGTGCTTTGCAATTTGCCCTCGAATGAATTTCCTGCATTTAATGGTTTCTGGTACCTGTTCGTGTGCTGTGACACTTCACCTTTGGAAAAACACTAGGCAACTTGAGATGTTTTCACCTCGATGTTTACGATGTCTCTGTGTGCTTTGCAATTTGACTTGTGCTTGAAGTTGTTTAACGGATTCAGCGGTGCACTAAATAATTGCCAATTTTTTTATCCCCGGAATACATCTCGTGCTCTCCACTGGATGCTGGCTGTCGTTTCCGTATGAGAAATGCGAACATATTCGCACTTTGGATGTCGTGCATTTGTGATTGAACTGTTGGTTCCATATGGGAAATGAGAACATATTCGCATTTTGGCTCCATATACTTTGTGATTTTTGGAAATCCTCCGTGCACTTTGCAATGTGGCATTGTATGATACTTTGCGTTCAATTTGGAAAGTCTCTGTGCTTTGCAATTTGCCCTTGAATGAATTTTTTGCATAGAATGGTTTCTGAAAACTGATCGTCTGCTCTGAGACTTCACCTTTGGAAAAACAGTGCGCAACTTGAGATGTTTTCACCTTGATGTTTGCGATGTCTCTGTGTGCTTTGCAATTTGACTTGAGATGTTTTCATCTCGATGTTTGTGATGACAAGAGATACTTGTATGAATGGATATGAATCTTCTACCAAGAAAGATTTGATGGCATTTTCAACCTGTGATATAGAAATGACAAGCCAATGTTCATATTAAATTGTCGCGCGGATGGACTGCGCAATTGCTTCTCCATCATAGTGGGAGTTCAATCGCACTTCTGGTGTGAGCCCTGAGCAATTCCCTCACACTTTGCTTCACGTCGAGGAGGGGATCGAATGCACCGCCTGTAAGCACTTCCACATCACGAAACAAGAGCACGTCCCAATTGGAACATCGCCGGGTCCTCACCTCATCGACTCTCAAGATGACTACAGCCAACAGCGGTAGGATGACAGGTCCGCCTATCCGATGTGGATCTCACGGTGGAGTGCGAAACTCTACTCTCAAAGATCCACACCGGGTAGAAGGTCCTGCAAGCAGCCGCTGCTTGCTTGTAAGGCATCTTATGATGTGTCGATATAACCGACATCCATAACTGCTTGGTGAGCATCTAGTGCTACGCCAATAAGTTCCAAACACGGCAACAAAGTCCCCTAAGAGTGTTCTCTGCCGGGTCCTCACCACATCGACTCTCAAGATGACTACAGCCAACAGCGGTAGGATGGCAGGTCCGCCTACCCGATGTGGATCTCACGGTGGAGTGCGAAACTCTGCTCTCAAAAATCCACACCGGGTAGAAGGTCCTTCAAGCAGCCGGTGCTTGCTTGTAAGGCATCTTATGATGTGTCGATATGAAAGACATCAAGAACTCCTTAATGAGCATCTAGTGTTACACCAATTTGTTCCAAACACGGCACCAAAGTCCCCTGACAATGTTCTTTGTCGGGTCCTCACCTCGTCGACTCCCTCAACATGACTACAGCTGACAGCGATAGGATGGCAGGTCCACCTATCCGATGTGGATCTCACGGTGGAGTGCGAAACTCTGCTCTCAAAAATACACACCGGGTAGAAGGTCCTGCAAGCAGCCGCTGCTTGCTTGTTAGGCATCTTATGATTTGTCGATATAACCGACATCCAGAACTCCTTGGTGAGCATCTAGTGCTACGCCTATAAGTTCCAAAAACACGGCAGCAAAGTCCACTGAGAGTTTTGTTTGCCGGGTCCTCACCTCATCGACTCCCTTAAGATGACTACAGCTAACAGCGGTAGGATGGCAGGTCCACCTATCCGACGTGGATCTCACGGTGGAGTGCAAAACTTTGCTCTCAAAGATCCATACCGGGTAGAAGATCCTGCAAGCAGCCGCTGCTTGCTTGTAAGGCATCTTATGATGTGTCGATATAACCGACATCCAGAACTGCTTGGTGAGCATCTAGTGCTACGCCAATATGTTCTGAACACGACCTCAAGGTCCCCTAAGAATGCTTTTGGCACTGGAGTCCTCTAACGGTCGACTGTTTGGCACTTCGTGAAGGTTGACACTTATTGAAGGTGGTCTACCACTTCTTAAAGGTGGTCAGTCACCCAACAGATCACGACCTGACATCGACCTCGATAACTGCGAATTGACTCGCTGTTCAACTAGAGTCTCTCTCTCTCTCTCTCTCTCTCTCTCTCTCTCT